TGGATTCACTTGGAGAAAAGGATCTCTGCACACGCATGCCCGCCTTTCTGCGCATGCGTGCATGCACACATGCCCCCCCCACGCCCCCTGTCCGCACCGCCTTGGCGTCCTGCTCCCTTCTCTGCCACCTTTCAACTGGCCCCCTGTTCAAAAAGTTTGAGGACTCCTGCTCTACAGAAAGGGGTGGACAGACTTTCAAACCACAACAGAACTCAATTCATCTGGCTGACAGAGCAACCACAAGAGAAGCTGGTCTCCAAGGTAAAATTTTCAGTGTTGTAAAGTAACACATACAATAAGAATCTGCAGATCTTACTGGAGAGAAAGGTTCCTGACAGTATTCTTTTAAAAGTCACTGAGCAATGTTTTATTTTCTATGGGGCAATGAACTATAATGCAAACAGAATATGAAATACAGTAAACTGTAAATTCCTGTAAAATAGAACACTTCAGGAATCTTTGGGCATAATCTGCAAAGATTTATCAAACAGTTGCCCAATAAAGATATCTCCATTTCTCAAGGAATTCAGTTTATGAAAGAATTATTGAAAGAGATCAGTAGAAGTGTGCACCAAGTACAATATTCAACTTGGACTCCAATTTGATTTACCAAAAAAAGCTTAATTCTACTTGGACCAATTTGAAGGCCACCAGTTCAACTTGTATCAAAACTGAGTCAAGATTTGGAAATCTGAGGTATTGTGCTGCCTATTATAGAAAATCTAAACACAGTTATAACTTAATTTCTTTGTCAGAAGTGAATGAAATCTGCCCTTTCGGGAGAATAGCATCAGTTAAAACCAGAAAAATAGGTGTAGGGGTTTTATATATTTTGATTTCCCCTAAGGGAACTGCTGATGAATTTTTGTTGGGAATTAGATGTCAGTTCCAATTATACTTACCCCTTCTGAGAAGGTTGAGCCTACTAAGTGTCAGATGAATAGGTCAGAGGGTGCTGCACAAGGGCATTCTTTACATTTACATTTTGAAGAAATCCAAAAACAATCCTTACAAACCTTGTGAACTAGAACAAGGCAGTCTAGTGGTGGTCCAAAGTAAAAAAACAAAAAACAAAAAAACTGCACCTGTCCGTTCAGAAGGATTAAGTGCAGCAGTTTACTTGGAAGGGAAATCTCAATTTAGTGAAAGAATTTATTCATTTCCTCATCCCCCTTCCCAACTGTTTTTGGGCATTTTGTATAAAAATACCACACATCACAGGAACAAGAAACCTGTAAAGTTTATGAAGGATAAATAGAGGGACTAGAGAGCTGAGATGCTTAAAAAGCAGTGAAGGCTTTTCCAAAGTAAATTGTGGATGTACTAGATTTGCTATCTAGTTCTAGGCAAAAATATACAAACAACACCAAAACTAAAACAAAGTAAGGCAAGAAAGGACAGGGAATCTCAAAGCAAGATTTTACACGTCGGGAAAAGGTCTGGGAGAAAAAGTGAATTATAAAAGGAAAGCTTTGAAATTATGAACAAACAAAACTGAAGTCACCCTTCCCAATCTAAAACAGAACCTTTTGCTTGTTAGTGTCAAGTTGTTACAGAATGAACAAACAACTGAGAGACACAGAACAGAGAAATATTTATTCTAACCCAATCCTTCCTATGAAGCAAGGGAAGGGCAAAGCCTCCAGTGAAGTAAAAGTAGATCTGCCAGCAAAACTCCCTCTTCTTCCATCCATAATTTGTATTCAGAAAAACAAAAGGCATTATTTGGAAGGGAAATAGAATGGTAACCAACCCTGATACAGGACAAAATTCAGGTTGAGTCACTTTGAAAGGAGGCCCAATTTGCCAAGGAGTCACCAGAAACGTCCTGAAAGAGACCAGCTCAACTCAGACTTTGGGCTTCTACCAGCTCTGATGTGCATGTCTCATCAGTCGCGCTGAAATATGTAAGAGTGAAGGGCTGACAAAGGAAAGCCATTACGGAAGAGACCTTTATGGTTAAAAAGCACCCCTCTTAAAGTGTAGAAATATACTTTGTGAGCAAGATGGAGTTTGTCACACAGACTGAAAAGCTCAACACAGGAACAAACAGGCTGTGTGTACAAATATGCAGCGCACCCACATTAAGCTAGGATTCCTCCATTTAAAAAGGAATAAACAATGGATCCTGTGATACAGTTAGATGTAGCCTACCATCCTACATGTGGGAAATATGTTCCATTGAAATCAGTGTGGCTTACTTCTGAGTAAATATCCCTGGGATCAAACTGCAGTCTCTTTATTCCCTGTGCCAGAATCAGCAAAGAAGAGTGAGAAAATAATCGCTTTGTATGCCGAGATGTTTAGACTAGTTTTCAGCAGCCTTTTAAAAAGTCAGAGCAATGCCAGCCAACCTGACGTAGACCACAAATGAACACTCACCAGTTCCCATGATATCAACAGAAAGAGTAGTATGAGAGAGGCATTCATGCCCACACTCCAATGAATAGATGCAGGCCTTCCTCTTTAACTCGTCTTTAAGCGATGTCAGCTCCCTGGGACAAAACTCCTCCCCAAAACCTGGAGTCAATGTTGACAGTACTGGCTGTGAGAGATCAAACAGTCTGGCTCAGTATAAGGCAGCTTCCTATATTCCTCAATGAAGCCATTCACTGTGAATACAGCACGGACATGGACCTAGGAAATCTCCACTGACAGCAGGCCGTGGCTTCTTACCGTCACCAAAAGTGCTTCCCACTCACCTCCCTCTGTGGTGGGATATTTGCAATCCATGCAATCACAGCTGTCTTTTCATTTAAACTTCCAGACCTAAATAAGTGGGATATTACCTACCTTAAGAAAACAGGAGGACACCATGCAGTGCAATGAGTTACAAGCAAACACTTGGCAACTAAAAAGTTCTCAAGCCTTTCTCCTGCACCATGATATTCAGGGGTCGGGGGAGATGCTTCTGACTTGCTTATTTAGTTTTGCAGTCTTCTTAAACAGGCTAGCAGTTTTTTTAATGGTATGTTGCCCTTCTATGAGTTTACCATCCCAAAGTAACCCAAATCTGTAAATATGCAGTATGAAAGCAAACAATGCATCAGTGACATTCAATGTGATGTCCGTGAATGCAATGTGCAACCAGCCTATGTCTAAGAGAGGACTGGGGAAGATAAGGGATGCCCCCCACCATCTTCTTTCACTTACCACCCCCAGAAAAAAAATCACAGTTGTCTATTCGTAACAGTGATCTTTTTCAGATAAATCCAGAGCTGCAATAACTTAGCTTATCCACAAATGGGAGGAGCATTTGCAATCAGTTCAAAAGCTGCGTATCACTCCCATCATGTTAAAACCCCTACAATAAACGAATTGAGCCCTTCATCCTCTCGGACCTACAATTCAGGTATTGCAGCGTGTAGCAAAAGCACAGAAAGGAAGCTGCAGCCAAAGGGAACGGAACCAAAGGACTACTGTAGTCTCCTTCATTCCACCTTCTGAGCCCCGCTTCCACAGTACGAGAGCATTTGTGTGCATAGTGGATGGAAAATTTTGAGCTGATCAATGGCAAGCACTCCAGCCATCATCTTTGCAGCACAGGCCTGAAAAGTGCGGGGGGGGGGGGGGCACACGGGGACTCAATGCCAGTTTTCCATTACAGTGAGAAGCGAGTGCTTCTTTGTATCGCTTTCTCTCCTCACACCCCCATATTCACAATACCTTCTTAACATCTCACCCTGCACAATACCTTCTTAACATCTCACCCTTCGGTAACAAGAAACAAGGCGGCCGCTTGAAGCAGAAGGCTGCTCTTGCTAAAAGCCAACTGGCAAAAGCAGAGGTGGGGAAAGCCTACGCATTGTCCTGGGGGGAAGAAAGAGACACTAAAACAGGGGAAAATTTTCACCTTGACTCACCAGCCCCTTTCCAAAGACGATATCCCTCCCCTTTTGGAACTTAATCAGCATGACTAGACCTAGATCAGAAAACCTGACTGGCTTGGCACACTTGAAGTTAGGAAAACGGACTATGCAGCAAAGAAAGATAAATAAGCACTTTACAGCTACAGCTTTATATTCACTTACTTGAGACAGTCTCTTTATATTCAGCAAGACTTACTGAATATAGGGTGCAGAGCTGCAAAGTATGCACTTGCAAAGAAGACACACAGAATTCAGGAAGACCATGCTTCTGGGTAAGCCTAGAGAAGGAAGCTGGATTCACCCACTAACTGGCACAAAAGGAACTTAAAAGCTAACTTTGCATCTACTGCATGAAAAAGATGAAGATAGATAAGCGAGTAAGCTGCTGAGAATAGGGCGAAGTTTAATAAGAAGCAAAGCTCATGTCTGGCCTGGGGTGGGGGTATGATTGACGCATCTCCGAAATGTACCCTAACAGGAGAACTTTGTCCCAGGATCGGGCAGTAGTGCATCTGAGCATGCAAAGTAGATTTCCACAACCGCAAGTAAGCCCATTTAGGACTTGGTAAAGGGCATCCTGGGCAGGAGAGACTACTATGACACCATATGCACAGTGGGGCACAGAGTCCCCCCACCCCCGCTCCTACCGGTCTTCACAAGCCTCTAACTACACACTGGGTTTACGCAACAAGCGAATGACAGTCATACCCCCTCTCCATCACCAGCACCACCGCGAAAAGAAAATAGGGCACCCTGGCTTTCCAGGGTAAGGGCTATCGCTCCAAGAAGATCGGGCATGTCTTGTTTTAGAAGTTGCGCTTTCTCCTCCAGGCGGGGAGGGGGACTCAACTCTGCTGGCTCGCCCCCGCCCGCCTTCTTCCAGCACTCCGTCCCCGCAGCCCCTCCAAGACAGGTGATCCGGGCCCCCCTCGCCGTCCCCCCCCCCCCCCCGTGCTGCTCCAGCTACAGCGCCCTGCTGCCCGCCAGAAAGGGGCCACCCCAACCCAGCCAGCAAAGGCGCCCGGGGCCCGGGGAACCGCTCCTCCTCACCCCCCCCCCCGAAGCGCGCTGCTTCTGCTCCGGCGGCCGAGGGCAGTCACCGCGGGTGCCAGCGCCACCGCCACTACTCACTCGGCGTATCCCGTGGTCCAAGGCAGGCGCTTGGTCTCCTTGTTGAGGATGAGGATGGGCCGGGCGATGTGGTCGGCGGAGCACTCGACCTCGTCCTGAGACAGCCCCAGGAACTCGGGTCTGCCGTAAGGGAAGCGGAGGGGCAAATCCAAGCCGCCGCCGCTGCTGCCGCCGTGCTCCGAGCCCGAGCCGCCAGCCATGATGCCTCCCATGAAATTGGCCACGGCTGACTTCACCCGAGTGAGCATATTACTGCTGCTGCTGCTGCTGCTGCTGCCGCCGGCGGCACCCGCGGAGGGGCCAGGAGGAGCACCATCCAGCTCGCGGGAGGCGGCGGGCAGACAGGCACGCAGGGTTACGGCTGAGATCACGCCGCTGCGAGCGCCGCCGAGCAGCAGAGACGCTTCCGCAAAGGGGAGGCTGCATGCAACGGGCGCCTAGGAACGGTCGCCGCCGCTGCCGCTGCCGAGTCAAGCCACGAGAGAATGCAGCTGCTGCCGCTGCCTCCGCCGCCGCCGCCGCGGATCGCTCATCGCCGGCACTGCCGCGGTGACCCTGCCGGGCTGCCCGCTCCGCTCGCGCCTCGGCGCGGCTCACCCCGCGCGCCCCAGCCCGAGCGGCTTGCGCGGCTGCGAGCGCGAGTCATGTGACGCCGCTCAGCCTGCGCTCGTCTCGTCTGCCTGCCTGCCTGCCTGCCTGCCTGCCGGGGAACTTCCTGCTCCTTGGGCTGCGGCAGCGCTGCTCCTCCAGCCAGCGGGCCCCGGCGCCCGAGATTGCGGCAGTGGCGCCCCTCTCCCCTTAGGGATCGTCACCTTGTGGCTGCGGGCGGGCGGGCGGCCAGCGGAAGGAAGGGGGCGCGGCGCACAGGCTTGCGGGAAGAGTTCCTAGAGCTGGCTTGTAGGGGGAAGTCGGGACGGGATGGACAGCCAGGCTTGCCTCTAAACAGGTGTGAGTTTATGGTGTGCGAACCTAGGCAACTCCGTCCCAATGAAACCGATGGGACGCTTTCCCGAAAGACGATTACCCCCATCAATATCCAAACCTGCTCTCCCCGCCCCACCCCCGTTGCTTTGGATTGCAAACTCCATCATTCTCAGCCCTCACGGGTGGCTGGTGGGTTGTCCTGCTGTGAGAACCCCACAGAGTTTACACAGTGCAGTTTATTTTTCATGAACATGCCATTTTGTGGCCCTGTGGCTTGTTGCTAGGTTATTCATACCCATAATGGCTTCTTAGGACTTCCAAACCTGAGAGAGTAACTTCATTGTGGGTTGTCTGGAATGAAAAGAGACACTCAAACAACAGCAGTGGAAACTTCACAATCTCACACGTGTCCCTGCCATCCACCCTCTCAGTGGTCTCAGCCCCGGTAAAGAGAAAAATGTCCCGAACAGGTTCACAATGTTGTTTTCCAATATTGCCCAAGAATGCTGGGAAATGTGCAAAATTTTCCTCTCCATCCCAGTCATCGCTTTACAGCGTACCTATTCTTTCTCCTTTGACTTACCCGCGTTTTCCTGTGTTCAACCAGGAATGGATTGAAATGGATTTAATGGGCATTGTTATCAATGGATGTTCACAAGACACAACAAAGGTGCTAAATATTTTTATTGTGGCACGGCAGTTAAGTAAACAAAATCAAACTGGAACTTGTTGACTGCAAATAGCCACCCATCCACCCACCCTCCCTCTGAGTCAGTACTTGGTAGAAATACCTTTGGCAGCAATTCCAGCTGCAAGTGTTCTTGGGTAAACCTCTCTCAGCTTCGCACATCTGGATCTTGCAGTGTTTGCCCATTTTCCTGGCAAAACCCCCAGCTCTGCCAAGGTTGCAATGAGAAGCATTGGAGAACAGCAGCTTTCAAATGTTGGCACAGACTCTCAATTAGTTTGAGGCCCGTGGTTTGACTGGGTCATTCTGAGACATCCAAGTTCTTGTTTTTCAGTCACACTGCTTTTTGCAGCAGGGCCAATCAATCATGTGGCGCTGGAATTGCATATGAGTGGATTCCACTTAGTTATTTGTACTGACCTCTGGAGGAAGTGGGTTGCCCTAGAGCTTATTCAGGCATTTCACGGGGGGGGGGGGGGTGACTACTTGTACAAGCAACAAGCACCAGTTTGTTTTTATTAACTGTTATGCCACAATAAAAAATATGTTGCCCCTTCAGAGGGTTAAAGACTTGGATACATCAAGTGGTAACAATGTCAATTCTATTGCAATGCCAGGTATAACACAACAAAATGTGGAAAAGTCAGACAGGGAAGAATACTACAAGGCACCGTCTACCTGAAAGCTAACAAGAAAAGGAAGCATCAAGTGCATTGTGGAAGGGAATTGCTGAAAGCCCCTGGTAGCAGAGAGTGAGAGAAGCTTTAGGGGCAAGTGGCTTGGGACCCGCATACCTAAAGAAACGCCTTCTTCTGTATTTGCCCTCCCGCCTCCTGAGATCGGCAGCAGAGGCCCTCCTCCGGGAACCCTCCAGGAAAGATGTTAGGAGGCAAAGTACCTGGAGGAGGGCCTTCTCTGCGGTGGCACCCCGCCTATGGAATGCGCTCCCCAGAGAGGTCCGCCTAGCGCCATCGTTATTTGTTTTTCGGCGCCAGGTTAAGACCTTTTTATTCCAACAATATTTTAATAACTTTTAATATTGGCTTATATATGTTTTAATCTGCAGCCAGGGTGGATCTGAAATTCATTTGTATTATGTTTTATATTATTTTTATTTATTTATGTAAGCCATCCTGAGGCTTCAGTAGAACAAGGGAAGCACCTAAGGAGAGGATGAAATTGGCAAGTATATCGACAAGAGGCAGATACTGGCATGCTTGGACCGATAGGACAGGATTGCAGGATAATGTGAATGTATGACCTTTGCTTAAGGGCTCAAATAATTTATTTGGTAACCCTACAGCCAACGGAATGGGTGGTGATGTACAGAGCAAACACAAAGAGTGCTGATACAAAGGTACTTGGAAGAGATGCGAGATGCAGCAAGAGGAAAACAAGACACAGCAAGCCACAAAGTACCTGATCACCTTTCAGGTTCACAAGTGAACAACAAACCCATGGTTGCTTATTCTCAGGGCGGCTTAGCATAACAGGTGTCCCATGGATCCTTTAATGGCCCCTTGGGTGATCTCCTCCATTTTGTTTTGTGCTGTTATTCTCCATGCTTCTTTTTCTCTCCATTGTGTCTTCCTTAGCCACATATCTCATCATGGCTTTTATTTAGGAAGTTGCTTTATACCATTTGTCCATCTAACTCAGTACTGTCTGAACTGTGAACATTAAGGAGAGATGTTTCTTATTTCTACCTGCTCATTTGACTAGAGATTTCAGTGCTTGAACCCAGTACCTTTTGCTCTTCCACTGAAGTGTATCCAACCACCCCCTATAGTTGTCGCATCTTTTTTATTCCTACTTTTTTAGCTTCCTACACCACCATCTCCCAAAAGCCAACAAAGTAGGGACTGGCCAGGAATTTTCAAGTTGCCAGGTTCCATCAACTGGACTCCAAGACCAAAACATGTTACTACTTACTTGTTCCCATCTGAGGTTGGTAACTTCTAAATCCACTTTTCTCTGTTTGATGTCCTGTCTAAACCCTTCTCCTGCCTGTAAGATTCTTCAGGGGCAAAGGAAAATGCAGGGAGGTGGTCTAAACCAAATAGGATTCTATTTGATCTTTATCATCAAACAAATACTTAAACTGAGGCCTAGCAGAAGCTTGTGTGGCTGGCTGAGCAGGTCCATCCCTTTGTAGGAGTGAACAAATGATAATCCTGCAATGTATCTTTTCCTACCTGCTGACTTCTCCCACCTGCATCAGGAAAATTACTTTCATTACTATCCCAGCTCTGGCTAGTGTCACAGCAAAACAAAACAACAAAACAAAATCTGGAAAGCCCCTCACTACCTGTTGCTGTAAGCATTGCCTCTTGCAATAGCAACAAAAGCCACTCAGGTATGACCTAAGTCATATCCCTGATGAATATACAGTAGAGGTGACAAATAGATTTAAGGAATTAGATCTGATAGACAGAGTGTCTGAAGAACTATGGACGGAGGTTCGCAACATTGTACAAGAGGTAGCAACTAAAACCATCCCAAAGAAAAAAAAAATGTAAGAAAGCAAAATGGCTGTCTGAGGAAGCTTTACAAATAGCTGAGAAAAGAAGGGAAGCAAAAGGCAAGGGAGAAAGAGAAAGATACACCCAATTGAATGCAGAATTCCAAAGAATAGCTAGAAGAGATAAGAATGCCTTCTTAAATGAACAGTGCAAAGAAATGGAAGAAAACGAGATCTCTTCAAGAAAATCGGAGATATGAAGGGAACATTTCATGCAAAGATGGGCATGATAAAGGACCAAAATGACAAGGACCTAACAGAGGCAGAAGAGATTAAGAAGAGGTGGCAAGATTACACAGAAGAACTATGCAAGAAAGAGCTTAACGTCCCTGATAACCACGATGGGGTGGTCACTGACCTGGAGCCAGACATCCTGGAATGTGAAGTCAAATGGGCCTTAGAAGTCTGAGCAACAACAAAGCTAGTGGAGGTGACAGCATTCCAGCTGAGCTATTCAAAATCTTAAAAGATGATGCAGTAAAAGTGCTACACTCAATATGCCAGCAAATTTGGAAAACCCAACAGTGGCCACAGGATTGGAAAAGGTCAGTTTACATTCCGATCCCAAAGAAGGGCAATGCCAAAGAATGTTCAAACTACCGCACCATTGCACTCATTTCACATGCTAGCAAAGTTATGCTCAAAATCCTGCAAGCTAGGCTCCAGCAGTATGTGGACCGAGAACTACCAGAAGTACAGGCAGGATTTCGAAGAGGGAGAGGAACTAGAGATCAAATTGCCAACATATGCTGGATCACGGAGATAGCTAGGGAGTTCCAGAAAAACATCTACTTCTGCTTCATTGACTATGCTAAAGCCTTTGATTGTGTGGATCACAACAAATTGTGTCAAGTTCTTAAAGAGATGGGAGTACCTGACCATCTTATTTGTCTCTTGAGAAACCTATATGTGAGTCAAGAAGCAACAGTGAGAACTGGACACGGAACCACTGATTGGTTCAAAATTGAGAAAGGAGTTCGGCAAGGCTGTATACTATCACCCTGCCTATTTAACTTATATGCAGAGCACATCATGAGAAAGGCGGGACTAGATGAATCACCAGTTAGAATTAAGATTGCTGGGAGAAATATCAACAACCTCAGATATGCAGATGATACTACTCTCATGGCAGCAAGTGAAGAGGAACTAAATGATACCACTCT